CTGAAACCTGATACATTTTGCTTGTATTGAACTATAACTTCCTCGAATGCAAGAACACGTGTTTTTATTTATTTTTTTATTTTTTTATTTTTTTTTTATTGAGACAGAGTCTCACTCTGTTGCCCTGGCTAGAGTGCCGTGGCGTCAGTGTAGCTCACAGCAGCCTCAAACTCCTGGGCTCAAGCGATCCTCCTGCCTCAGCCTCCCGAGGAGCTGGGACTACAGGCATGCGCCACAATGCCTGGCTAATTTTTTCTATATATTTTTAGTTGTCCAATTAATTTCTTTCTAATTTTAGTAGAGACGGGGTCTCGCTCTTGCTCAGGCTGGTCTCGAACTCCTGAGCTCAAACAATCCGCCCGCCTCGGCCTCCCAGAGAGCTAGGATTACAGGCGTGAGCCACCGCGCCCGGCCCGTGTTTTTATTTTTATATTTTTGGGATTTACCATAGAGCTGGCTCTCACCAAATAAATGACTGAATCACCGGACAAGTCAATAATAACTCCAAATTATATATCACATTAAACGTAAACTTCGCCCTGACACACAAACCTCTCTTCCAATGCTCTCCTTCCTTACCTGGCCAACCTTGTCTCTTCCTGTGCTTCAGTCTAATGATTTCTAGTTATTATAGTCTGTAGACATATGTCTTGCCCCTTTCTCTCTCTTTTTGTTCTGATGGCTGCTTCTGTCTGCAGTGTCTTCCTTCCTCGCTGCCAACTCATATTTACCATTTCTGGCAAGAAAAAACTAAAATATTACTTTTCATAATGAATACTCTTTTGCTGATGACTAATGATGGAAAGGAAGTAAGCTTCCGGTGCTTTCTGGCATTATGCTGTACATCTCTCTATAAGAAATAGTTTTGGCTACGAGTAAAACGAGATCCAATTATGATGACAAAAAATAAGGATTGGCCGGGCGCGGTGGCTCACACCTGTAATCCTAGCACTCTGGGAGGCCGAGGCGGGTGGATTGTTTGAGCTCAGGAGTTCGAGACCAGCCTGAGCAAGAGCGAGACCCCGTCTCTACTAAAAATAGAAAGAAATTAATCGGACAACTAAAAATATATAGAAAAAATTAGTTGGGCATGGTGACACATGTCTGTAGTCCCAGCTACTTGGGAGGCTGAGGCAGAAGGATTGCTTGGGCCCAGGAGTTTGAGGTTGCTGTGAGCTAGCCTGACGCCATGGTACTCTAGCCCAGGCAAGAGAGTGAGACTCTGTCTCAAAAAAGAAATTGAAAAAAAAAAGTAAAAAAAAATTAAAAAGAAAAAAAAATAAGGATTAATTAAAAATTTTTTTCATAACAAAAAATTTGGATGTGAATGATGGCTGGTTTTGGTTTAGAAATTCAAGAATGTTTGGAACAGTTTCACATTACTCTTTTGATTTTTTTACCTCCTGGATGCAAATGACACCCAAAGCCCCAGAATTGTGCTTATAGAGAAGGCAGACATGTGAAGGGAGGGAGACAGAGCCAGGCCCACCTGCACCTTTTGTCAGGAGCAAAAGACCTTCAAGAAACCACTTAGCACACTTTTGCTTCTATCTTATTTATGAGGACTGGGTCAGATGGCCATCCCTCACTACAGCAGAGCACAGGAAAACACATTTTCAGCTTTGAGATGGAAAGAAGAGACTGGGAAAGGCTATTGGGTTAGTTAACCCAAAATGATTATCATATTTTCTAAATCATCTAATATCACCACTCTTCTTTGGGCAAGCTCAAGGCTTCATATTTTGCCACAGTCTCCAAAAGTGCTTACCACTGTGCTGCATACCTGGGTATAAAGATTGCCAGTAATATAGATAACTGAGAATTGAGGCAATGAAAACCCCACCATTGTCTGACATGGGGTAGATTAGAAGATACAAGACACACTACCCAGATTGTCTTGCATGAATGGAAAAAAATGAGCAAGAAAGGTGTCTCTCTGTTTTTTGTTGCTTGCAACAGGATACCTGAAACTAGGTAATTTACAAAGAAAAAGAATTTATTTCTTACAGTTATGGAAGCTGGGAAGTCCAAGGCTGAAGGGTCATATCTGATAGGGGGCTTCTTGCTGATGGGTATCCTCTTCAGAGTCCTGGGTGGTGCAGGTCATCACATGGCGAAGGGCCTCAGCATGCTAGCTCAGGTTTCTCTTCCTCTTCTTATAAAGCCAATTCCATGTTAACCCAGTAATTTATTAACCTACTAATCCATTAATCCTCATGACCCAAACACCTCTTAAAGGCCCTCCCCCCAATATTGCCACACTGGGGACAAAATTTCAACATGAGTTTTGGAGAGGACAAATATTCAAATCATAACAAAGGATGTGAGATGCTTTTAGAGACTTTTTACTATTATCAATTGAGGACCATTGGCCTCTTTCAATATTATCAATTTAATAGCATGTTTGCTCTAGCTCTAGCATGTTTATTATAATATGCCAATGTCATCTCTTAATTATAGTCCTTAGGAAATGGCATACCCTTGTAGATGGTTGGTAGGTTCAAACATAAGCTTTTTATTTATATTTATAAACTTGGTCTTGAGTTTAAACATGTTTGTGAAGAGTAGTGAAATGTTGGTTCATACAATAGTTATTTAAATGAAAGTGTAATTTGAAAGATTTGAGCTAACATTTATGACTAGAGCATGAATGCTGCAAACCTGAAATGTTCAGTTAGGAAGAGCTGAAGAGTCTATCTCAAACTGACTCTCCTTAACATTAGTATTACTGTAAACCATAAGATGATCAAATGGCATATTCATTTTAGATTTCCCCTCCATGCCACTCCTCCAGTATTTTTAACATGAAATAATATTAAAATGAATCTTGAGGGAGGGCTGAGGGATGTGGCTAAAACAAGGAATCCCAAAAGTACACCTTGGAGAGGAACAAGATTTGCCTTTATGACAACAGGGTGGCTAAACGGTGTTGAAATAGGGAGAGGACAAGACTTTTGGTGGGCTGGGTGTGGTGGCTTACGCCTGTAATCCTAGCACTCTGGGAGGCCGAGGCGGGGGGGTCACTTGAGGTCAGGAGTTTGAGACCAGAGTGAGCAAGAGTGAGACCTGTCTCTACTAAAAATAGAAAGAAATTAGCCCTGCATGGCGGCGTTCATCCATAATTCCAGCTACTCGAGAGGCTGAGGCAGGAGGATCCCTTGAGCCCAGGAGTTTGAGGTTGCTGTGAGCTAGGCCGACTCCATGGTACTCTAGCCCAGGCAACAGAGAGAGATAATGTCTTAAAAAAAAAGGGTTTTAGTGGATTGTATGCAATGGCTTTCAAGCCTTTTTTTTTAGCACAATCTAAAAGATCCCTGTCTGTGCTTGTCATCCAGTCTAACCAGTACTGTCTAGTGCTTTGGGGCTGGCCACTTACTTGCTCAGATTATTAGAAGGAGGGCTTCTGCAATAATTGCACCCTTTCCTCTTGTAAAAATTAGACATTACAGCCTTTACTAATTATAGGCTAGTGGCTCCAGTGTCCTCCTGATAGTAAATTGCTTTGAGATAGTATCTGGAAATTGGGTAGTAAAATAAATCCAGAAGAGGCTTGTCAAGCTTTTCTTGCCCATAAAATGAAAATAAAATATCATATTTGTGAAGTTCTATGGAAGGAAAAATTGGAAGGATAGCCCAAGTTGCTTAGTAAAGAGAATTTTGCTATCAAAACACTGCCACATCAGCCACTGTTAAAACAAAAACGCAATCAGGATTTCTTGAAATGTTTATGTTTCCTTCCAGTCTTCAAATTAAAGTAGAGCATCATGTTCCTTTGGGTTGCCATTCAAATGCTCTCTTCCTCTCCTGATTCCTATAAATGTAGTAGGTAATATACTCCTCTCTTTTGAAGCAGAATGACTACTCCAAAACTAACATTTTTTTTTTGAGAACTTCATTGCCTGTATGATGCCCAGAAATTACAAACAAGTCTATCAATAGATGTTTGTTTCTGACTTTGTAATTATCACCTAACATCTTTCCTGATTACTATTGAACTGCCTTAGTTTCCAACTCAAATAGCCCTAGACATCGAAGCAGTGTTTAACCACCTCTTAGAGGTCAACTCAGTCAGCTAATTTCCCATCCCAACCAGGACCTGTCCATATAGCATCCTTGTCAAAGCCTGTTTCAGCTTGGGTGTTGTGACTCAGAACTCTGTGCTTTGTGAGTAGGGTAACACCATTTGGACAGCTGGTCTACACAGGCCTTCTTTATATTTATCCAACCTGCCCATTTTTATGCAACTGGGCAGGTTGAATATATTTACTCAGTTCTATCTTTCGAAACAGTACATGTCTAGTTCTTGAGCCAAGTCAGCACGTGAAATAGTTGAATGTCAGCTGACAGATTAAAAAAAAAAAAGGTTAGTTAGTGACCTACCCAGGTGAGGACAGCTGTTCTCACCTAGGGATAAGTCTCCATGTTACAGAGAGGCCCAAATTCTGTTCTGATTATTTTTGGTTCTTCTTTCTGTTCTCTCTCTGGCTTATCTTTTTTATTTTTATTCCTTTTCCTCCGATTGACTCAAGAGACACAGAAAGGAAGCACTAGGGTTGCAACACAGAGCACCCTTACCCCTAGTTCTGTGTAACAAACTGCACGGGCAAAGGGAAACTACCCATTTACCTTCCCTACGTCCCCCTACCATGAGACCCAGATTCTCCATATTCTGTGTGTGTGTGTGTGTGTGTGTGTGTGTGTGTGTGTGTGTGATCATTTCTGAAAAAATTCTAATCCCAGCCTTGGGCTCCATTTTCCAGCTGGCGAGTGAATGAGAGGTGCAGAGAGAGAAATGACTGTTTAAGAAGGTTACATAACCCTCAATTCCGGAAGACCTTAGTTGCAACGCGTCATTCTCAAGCTGTGGATCCAAGACCAAGCAGCGAAACCCACCCTCTCGCGACAGCGGGGTCGACGGCGCAGGGGGAGCTGCGCGGTCCGGCCGCCAGGGGGCGCGCGTTTGCTGAGCCCGGGTGCCAAGCGAGGGCGTGGGCGTGCGCGTGGGCGTGCGTGAGGGCGCGCAGCTGCGGGCCAGGTGTTTGCGTCCTCAGGCCGCGCGGGTCGCGTTCGAAGTCATGGGCGATAGGTATGGTGCCCTGCGGCGGGCCCAACTGCATCTGGACTTCATCCACGCCAACTCGTGAGTGCCCAGGTGGGGTCGGAGTCGGGGAGGGTCCCTGCCAATGGAGAAAAGTTTTGTCCGCCCCCCAACCGAAAAAACAAAAATGAACCTGGTATCGTTGATTTATGGCTTTATTTATTTATTTGAGTTGTTTGTGCTTTAAAAAAAAGTGAAAAAGTGATAAAGATATATTCTGGGCCAGATTGAACTATTTTGGTGCTCGTCAATGAACACCAAATGGTAGGAAGGCCCCACATTTATCATTTAACAAAATTATCTAATCGTTCCTCGCTGCCAACTCATATTTACCATTTCTGGCAAGAAAAAACTAAAAAACTAAAATATTACTTTTCATAATAACTACTCTTTTGCTGATGACTAATGATGGAAAGGAAGTAAGCTTCCGGTGCTTTCTGGCATTATGCAGCAGAAGCCTAATTTTACCAATCTTGCCTACCTTTAGTCTGCCCAACACACGGGCAATTTAAAGATTAAAGTTGCCCTCCAAACAGAGTCATTTGCATTTATTGATTTCAACCTCTATGGCCTCCTGATTCTTTCTAAAAATGTAACCTCAAAGGATAGGAATCTCAAGTTTTAGTTGTTACTTGGTTACGTTTTTTCCGTCTGCCCTGCCCAGGTCCCTTTTACGTAACACTCATTACTTCAGATACTCAGATTGCAAAGGGATCTCATCTGTCATTTCCCATACAGCAAATTATACCAGTGAGTGCCGTGTAACTCACAGTGGTATGTCAGTATTTTTTTTTTTTTTTTTGGAATCTTTTAGTAATTTGGATTTACTAAAAATACTGACTGATATAAGGGATGTACCAAAATTGAAACCACAGAGGTGGAGGTGCAAAGAAAGCCAGGGAAGGCTGGCCTTGCTGTGCGGGATGATCTGTAATTTTCAGATAACAAGGGTAAGACAGGCAATCTTCAGCAAATTTCAGTTTTTATCTCTCTGTGGAGAATGATTTCAAGCTGGCAAAGGGGGAACAAATAGTGAAAAGCTAATGAGGTGGAAGACAAATGAAGAAATAGCAGTTTTGAGTAACATTAAGAAAAATTTTAAGTCCACTGCTGTAAGGACTGGGAATTTAATCTTGGAAAATTTCCTTAGCCCCTGTTTTGTATAGTTTCTGTGGCTATTGCTTCCCAGCCTCCTCCTACAGCACACCACCCTGTGCTACCCACTTCCCCAGCCCCATTTTCAGCTGGTGGCGTGATAACTTATAACAAAAGTGACAGCCATGTGAAGCAACAACAACAACAACAAAAATCAGATACCAATTGATTTCTTCTTAGCTCCCCCAGGTGGATTTTTGTTTGAAACTTTCATCTGTAAAAACAGAAATGTTTTTTCTTTTTTCTTCCTTTGCTTCACCCCCACATCCAATCCATCATCAAGTACATGCTTTGTCTAAATATGTCTCAGATTCACCCATTTCTCTCTGTCTCTACTGCCATTTACTTTAGTCCAAGCCACCACCATTTGCCTTCTGGGCTCCTCTATGCAGCCTCTTCACTAGGTTCTCTACTTCCCATTTTGGCTCTTCCATGGTCCATTTTCCTGAAAAGTTGCCAGAGTGAGCTTTTTAAACAGTTAACTGGATATGTATCTCTTCTGAAAACCCTACAGTGGTTCCTGGTTGCATGTCGCCTAAGCACAAGGTCCTTTCCATGGGGTAGGAAGCCCTCCTTGACACGGCCATGCCCTCATCTCAACCCGCTCTTGTTTTACCGTAAGCTGAGCACACTGGTCTCCTTGGCTCTTTCTGCTTCAGGGTCTTTGCATCTCTTGTTCTTGCTGAAAAGTTTCCACACTGCTCTGCAAGGTACTGAATTCTCTCATCCTTTAGGGCTCAGTTTAAATATCTTCAACCAAGAGATGCTTTCTCTGACCACCATCCCCTCCTCACCAGTTCCTCTTTCCCATCACCACTGTGACGGTAACTCCTAGTCACAATCTGTAATATCGTCTTTATATGTTTGCTTGTGTGTCTTCCATGGACCCCACCAGCTTGAGCTTCAAGATGGCAAAGACCCTGTCTGTATACAACACTGGCATGTGATAGGCAGTCAGTGAAAATCTCTTGAATGAACTCGTACAGAAACTCATGTGGCAATTTTGGTCAGAATTCTTACAATTAGTTTCCTGAAGGATTGTTTATGTATTGAATTTTGGTATATTGAATCATGTAGTTTATTTTTTTATTTTTTATTTTTATTTTTAGACAGAGTCTGGCTCTGTTGCCGGGGCCAGAGTGCCATGGCATCAGCCTAGCTCACAGCAACCTTAAACTCCTGGGCTCAAGTGATCCTCCTGCCTCAGCCTCCCAAGTAGCTGGGACTATAGGCATGCACCACCATGCCTGGCTAATTTTTTCTATATGTATATTTTTTTAGTTGTCCAGATCATTTCTTTCTATTTTTTAGTAGAGACTGGGTCTCGCTCTTGTTCAGGCTGATCTCGAACTCCTGACCTTGAGCGATCCGCCTCGGCCTCCCAGAATCATGTATTTTAAATTCACTAGAGTAACTTGTGATTTAAAGTGCTGATTTTGTAAAGCGTAACATACTTTTATGCTATTTTAGATTTTTATGCTTTCTTTTAAGTGAAGGACATCTTTTTGTAACAATAGCATTTTAGTAGCTTTTTAAAAAAATTACAAACTTTAAAACTGACTTGATTTAAGAGACCTTTCATCAGTATCTATGTTTGCAGTTTAAAATTCCAAAAAAATGGGGACATATACTGTGTATTTGTATATATACATTTTTAAAAATAAATTTTAAACTAAAGTATTGTCCTGTGGCCTGAGGTATTTGGAGACCCTGAGATATTGCAGATGATGCTTTCTCTTGTACAGATGAGCAGTTGTTTTTTTGATAAATGAGTCTTGCTTTTGTTATCTGTTTACTAAATATAGAAATAAAATTGCATACTGAATCTTCCCTTAATGCTGTGATAAGGTTGCCGATTGAAATATCCACATCAGGAAATGAAAAGCAAGCATGGGCCCCTGAAGGCAGCCTGATTTCACACACAGATAGCACCATTCAGCCTTCAAAATGTGGTGAATAGTAAAGGCTCTCTAAAGTTTTTGTTACCAAGGAGCTGGCATTAGGGGGTTTAGGAGAAAGTGGCCGCAGGTAATCTATGAAGTTATTTAAGGAGCAGTCTTTTCAAAGGTGGAAAGAGTCTACAGAAAAATGTAGATTGGTGAGGCAAGTAGGGGCTTCCTGCCAATTCCTGTGGTTGTAGTTGTAGCCTTATGGCTTTTTAGTAGACCAAGATGTTGATCAATATTCTTCAGAAATAATTTCGTCTTAAATAACACAATTTTAATGAATAATTCCCTGAAAAAAAATCTCACTTGAATACATGCTTATAAAGCAGCATTAAAAGGTAAAAGTTTTGCTCTAACAATACTAAGGTCCTTGAAGTTTTAATTTTATTAGGAGTGGGCAGTATATTTTGGCAAATGTGTTCTTACTCCTGGCTTCAGAATGGAGAGCATCTACTTCAGAATCTTGACCATGCTGAGAAAGTTGTTTCTAGAATAACTTCTTAATCGATTATCTGTCTGGAATTGGAGAACATTTGTCTGCAAGTGTTTTGAACCTTTTACACTGATTACACACCTGGTTTAACTGTTTGTTTTCTCTTTATTTCTTTGTCAGCACGACTCACAGTTTCCTTTTTGGTGCACTGGCTGAATTGCTAGACAATGCAAGGTAAGGTCTATTTGGGAACAAAGGTTATTGAGGGAATTTCATGACATACATCTATTCTAGTTACACTGGAATATAAAAAGATAATGTCATTTTTTTCCTCCATCTGGAATGTTTTGTGACTTGATTTTCTGTAAAATTGAAGTATGATAGGAAAAAGAACAGGTGAGAGAATTATTCACTTTTATTTAATTTGAATTTATGATCAAACTTGAAGTACAGGTAAATTGGATCTCTGTTTTTATGTTAATAACCATGTAATAGCACATACTCATTTGGATGTTTTTTGAGTTATATCTCAATGTACACTTTATCTTGAGAATTTGCACATGGGTTTGGGCATTTATTGAAATCTGTGTTGATACAAATTGCATAGTGAAGAAAGTAGCTAGCTGTTGTTGATCTCTTAATATGTATCACACATACATAAGCATTGTCTATATGAATATTAAGTCATTCATCTTTATGGCAACACTCTTGAGGTGGCAATTATTATCCCATTTCTACATACGAGGAAACTGATGCATAGGGTGGTCACAAAATTCATATTTGGCAGAACTAGAGTTCAAATTTGAGCTGGCTACAGAACCCCCTTACTCCATTTTACTGTCTTTGACAAAGATATGGATGTTTAAGGAAGCTCTAACAATTTTAAGTTCCACTCACTAGTGTATTCGTGGGGGCTTGTGAGGGACTCAATTTTTTTTTAGCTAAATTGAATTTGGCATTTGACTCATCTTATACTTGTTTTTTTCCTATAACAGAAGATTTTTTCTACCTTTTCTGTAGAAAGCAAAGTCCACCTAGGAAATAGTATCCAGTTGTTAGGTCAAGGGTCTCAGTAAGGGAACCTAAATTCCCTGCCACTGGACGAGAATTGCATTTCAACTTTTTGCATTTGTTCCTCATTTTTGGCCTTGTAAGGGAGATTACCTTTCTGAGAGTATGACCGCAGAGTGCAGTCAATTAACCAACCATCTAGAAATTCCTGCCCAGCACTAAGTCACTATCTCCTTCTTTTATGAAACCTTCTCTTTGTAGAACTAATGGAATCATGGAAAGGGAAGGACGAGGAAAAAAAAATAAAGTTGGTTTTTCAGGAGAGCCATGAACTCAACTTATAAGGAGCTATTAGGGATGGGGCCAAGACAGATGAACTCATGGTTAGTCTCTCTGCAGGAGATTAGGGTTGCTATGGTTGCTTCTGCTCAAAACTCTGAAGCAAATTGGTCTTGACTCCTACTAGATGCTACTAAATGGTCTACTTTCAGCCACTTTACGTCTGTAACTCGGAAAGAACATATCTCAACCTTGACATCTGTAACACTGAAAGAACACATTTGTCTATTTTGCCAACTGTCTTTTCTCCTCTGAAATTGTTTCATTTATTCATTCAGCAAAGATGGGAAAGTAAAATCAGAATGGAGAAGAAATAGAACAGTGGGGACAGTTTATGTAGTAGAGGGTGATTGGGTGATTGGGAAAGAAAGATCGACATCAGACTCAGCAGAGTGAAAGAATGTGATCAATAAAACCATTCTTAAAGCTCATTTGTTACTGGGCTGCCCCTTAGCCAGGTCCAGCCTGTCTCGTGTTTGTTCGGCTCATAGTGAAAGTTTGGTCAGTGTTTATAAAGAAAAGGGAAAAAAAAGGAATTGTTTGTAAGGCTTGAGAAATAGGGGGTACCACATAAAAAATTTGGGTCCCCTGCTTTCTTTGAAAGATTAGAAGTAGCAACCTCAAAGCCACATTCCTCCGTGGAACCAGGGGCTGGTGGTGAGTAGCAGGTGCTCTCTTGGGACCAGCCTGTGCTTTCAGCTTTGCCCCATTTCCAGTGTTCCCCCAAGGACGGCCTGAACCCCTCAGTTCTTGTGTCTTCAGTGGACACTTGAGTTTCCCACTGCTGCTTAGGTGCCAGTGTTTCACATCAAATAACACTGTTTAATGGACTTATTCAAGGTGCACAGATGGTCTCATGAAAGAGGTCTTTATTAAGTCCCTGTCTTATTCTAATAAATTGTTTTATATCATTGTATTCAAGATTTTAATGATCTGTAGTTATGAAAATTAGAACTGAAAAATACTAAAATAATACTGTAGATAAAGGAGAAAAAAATGTGGTAGTATAGAAGGGATGGTTAGGGGCCTACTCCCAATATAACAGTTGTTCAGAGAGAAAGTATCCTGGGCTGAAGAACAAAGGTTATTATAAAAGGTCTCAATATACTGTAAGGGTGAGTTATTAATATTTTATGCCTTAATCCATGGAAGTGCTGTATGAAGGAACTGTTTCTTTAACAACTTTCATTTCAATGCAGTGGCATTTCTTGAGCACCTATTGTGTACATAGTACTTAGTGTAATGCATAATTGTGTAATGGAGATATGGATACCCATGAGTCATGGGATTATGGTAAGGATCAGAAGAAAAATTTCAAAAGTACTTCATTCAGTGCTTACTTGACACACAGGAAATGCTCAAGCAGTGGCAGTGCTAACTGTAGAATGTTTATGTAGGGAGGGCCTAGAAGCAGCAGTTGGCTAGAGCAAGGAGGTAGAAGGCACTAAATTCTAGGTTTGTAGAGCAAATACAGTATACCTGCTGAGATTTATGTGGGGTAGTTTTGGATGTGGGACTTACCGAAATTTCAAGAAAGACTCAGGTTTCTTTATCAGAGTTCCTGTTGTACTGAGCTTTCCTTTAGACTCCTTCCTCTCTTATCCTCCTCCTTTCCTTAACATACCTTCTTCCTCATCAGCTAAGGCCACCTCCCCTGTTGTCTTCCTCCTTTCTCTCACACCCATGATATTGAAGCCAGAATCTTCTGGTTCTTTCTCTTTTCCTTTTTAAATTTTTACTTTTATAAATAGTTTTTTAAAATATAAAAATATCTCTGAATTTTAGGAAACTGAGAAAATAAGAAAAAAGAAAACCTTACTGATAATCTCTTCCCATAGAGCAGGGGTCAGCATACTTTTCTGTACAAGACCAGATATTAAATACTTTCACCTCTGTGGGATACGGGATCTCTTTTGAAACTGCTCAACTCTGCCATTGCATAATATGTATATATGTACATAGACAATGTATAAATGAGTGGGCATGGTTGTGTTCCAATAAAAATTTATTTACAAAATAGTAAGTGGGCCAGATTTGGTCTGTAGGCCATAGTTTGCCAACCTTTGATCTACAGAAAACTTCTATTAACATTTTGATTTCTTTTCTTCCATTTATGTATGTGTATATTATACATATTCTTAAACATGTGATCCTATAGTACATATTACCTAGTAATTTGCTTTTTCTTTTAATTTTTTTTGAACTACAGTATATCATGAAAAACATTCTGTGACTTCTGGATTATCCTCCAGCCAGTTTTTTTTAAATATTCATATCTATTTTGTTGAGCTTTTTGTGTAACTACTGGCAAATTTCATTTCTTCTTTTAAATTTCTGAGTTTTAGGCTTTGTAATATTCTCAAATTATGAGTGCTTATGGGTCTTATTATGCAAAAGCATGTTGAAACATTTTAGTAATTCATTTTGAAGCAATTTAAGTGGATTTTTTTATTGTTTGATAGCTGACAAAGGTTGTACCCCATATATTCAAATCAGATTAATGTAATTTTTTAAACAAAATTTCATATTGAAGCATTAATATTTTTATATTGTTTCCAGAGATTCAGGAGCTGCAAGACTTGATGTGTTTTCAGGTGAGTAGATTTGCTTTCTTCTTTTTTTTCTTGTAATGGAAAGCCTGTAGTTATTTTGATCTTATTTTATTTCATGAAATCAAACCTCATTCTATAGATTTTTGATGTAATCTAAGTGCTTTGTCAGTACACTGGTCCTATGGGGAGCCAGGGTGAGAAAAATATACTCTGAGAGTCAAATTGTTCACTTGTTAGAAGAACCATTTGCAAAATTAGGTCATTCAGAGTTTTGTGAAAGTATCAGAGTGATTTGGAGTAGTCAATTTGTCTGCCATGAGAAGCAGTTTTATTTTAAAAAGCATATTAACTTAATGGTTATTCATAATTAAGCATACATTATTCCCAACTTATCACAGTTTTAAAATGCAAAAGTGGATGTGCAGTATGAATGTTTGAGGGCAATAAAATTCAAACCAAATATATTTTCTTCATTGACTTTATTTGTAGTCACCAAATTTATTTCACTTACAGTTAATCTTGTTACAGTATGACACTAATGAAATTAGGTTTTGTGATCCAGCTCTGTAGTTAACACTACCTGGAGAAATGAGAAAAGGCCATGTAGTAACACTGGTTCCCTACCCTGGTTCCATCAGCTCTTCTGTCGTATCGGCTATTGGTCGTAGGTGAGAGGATATGGTCCATGATGTACCTCCATATCTGTGTTTAAAAGGCAACTCAGTTCAATTCACTTTTCTGAGTGTTTACAATCCTGAGCCAGAGGAGTCCTTACGGTTCATGAGGGAGATAGACACGGACCTCTTGAGATGACTGAGGAAATGATAAATGATGCTCTTCTTCCCCACCTACTCTCCAGGTTCTGAAAAGTTTGAGAAATCAACAAAAGAGTCAGCCTTTATTACTGATAAAGTTTAGGTTGGAGTGTTTAGCTTTGTGTGAGACAGCAAATGGACTTGCTGATCAGCCCACTCTGCTGCCTGGTAGAATCAAGCTTCTGCTGGAAACTTGTCTGCCTTGGGGAGAAGGGAGCAGAACTCATGCTTTGTGCAGGAAACTCATTCCCAAGAGGAAAATGAAGGAAGTGAATGGAGCCTCCCCCGTTTATTCTTCCCTAGATGATCAGTCAGATGAGTGAGCTCACCTTCACGGGGGGAAAGGGAGTAAAGGGACAAGGGAGGGCCTCTTTAGTGGAGAACAAGTAGTCTTCCCTTCCATATCCAATTAGACAGCATAACATAGGATAAGTCCTCTAGTCTAGGAGAGACTCCAAATATGGTGGTAACACAGAGAAAGAAGAAATTATCCCTCACATTCAGGAGCTAGGGCTTGAAATATGGGTGTGATTTTTGTCAAATTGTCTAGGAAGAAAAGAATATTCCTGTCTAAAGAAAAAGAATGGAGGTAGACTAGTTCGGGGATTCATTCATTTATTCAATGGCAATTATTATTCCAGGGGCTAGGGATAGAGCACTGAGCAAAATGTTAAAGTCTGTGCTCACATGGAACATGTATTCTAGTGGGGAGAGATAGACAATAAAGACATAAACAAATAATATACTAGGCAAAGATAAGCGCTAAAAGAAAAAAAAATAAAGCAGGATAAGAGAACAGAGAGCTATGGGAAGAGTATACAGAATTTTTTGTGAGGTCACCTGGAAGGTTTCTCTAAATAGGCGATAATACCAGTAAAGACGTGAGTGATGTGAGACAGTGAGCCAGGTAGATGCCGGGAGAAAAAGCACTCGGGGAACAAGGACGAGGCTAGGTTGACTAGAGCTAAGTGTTAGAGCCAAATGGGTGAGTATCTTAAATACTATCCAGCAGTAACATCCCCCTAAGTAGATACGTGTTCTTTTTCCTTTTTAGAATAAAGATATTCCAGCAGTAGCATACAAGATAGTCTGGAGAAGTATGAAAGCAAGAGTAGTAGGAAGGTGTGGCTGTGGAAATTACCCAAATGAGATTTCATGAGAATTTGAACTAGAGCAATGGTCCTAGAAATGGAGAAGGAAGAACAGATGTAAGCTGCATTTCATTCAAAGCACATGCACTATTGACAGAGGGTTGAGAAGACTTACATGGCATCGCAAAGTACAGCAAATGTAATCAAAACCCACACGTTATATTCTTTTGGCTATGTGACTGGACACCAGGGGGGCACGAGAGTGCTCATTTCACCCCACTTTCCCCAAGCTCTTGGCGTTATCGTAAAATGGCCAATTTGAGATGAAAGTGGCGCTTCTTTCTTTAGGTTATGTGTATTTTGTGAAAAACTGAACTTACGGTTTTTGGTTTTAAATTACTTATTTGTGTTGTAACATTTTCTTATTATGGCAAGCCATCATATAACTATCAACCTAGCAAATTGATTTTCTTAAAGAAAATAATAATAAAAGACAGGGTCAACACTTATGCACCAATAAATAGAATTGTTCTGGGGATGCATCATTAATGCAAGTTTGGACAAGTTTTCAGATTATTTAATGGGGCCCTGAATAACTGTCCAATCTTAAATTTCCTTCAAGTAATTTGAGGACTATGAAATTCAAACTAAATATGTTTCACCATGTGTTTTGCACATCTATGTGTATTAGTTATAGTAAACATAGATATGTATTCAACAACACATTTTTTCTGGTGCTTACCAAGTGCCAGGCACTGGGCTAAGTGCTGGGTGTACACAGTGCTCACTTTTAAGGAGTTGGCATTATAGTGTGGGGTTCCCTGCAAAGTGTAGTATGTATCTGCACTTTTGTGTGTAGAGGGCACATAGCTTTCATCATATTTCTGAGATAACTGTGTTTCCCCCAAATATAAGAACCACTGGTCTGAGAGAGAAATAGATATACAAACAGGTATTTTAACATACTATGAAGATGGGAAAACACAGATTAGAGAGAGAATATTCATTATGGGCACAAAATGACATGGAAGGATTAGGAAGGCTCCCTAGAAGAGTCTTATATGAACTAATCTAAAGAGAAAATAGGCATTCACCTGGGGAGCTATCACGGAAAGGGTGAAGGGGCAGTGTGTGCAGAGGTTTGAATCTGGAAAGAAGATAGAAAAAATGTTTGACGTATTCAAGATTAGTTCAAAGGGATTATTTGTGTGGAAGTGGAAGGTAGCAGATGGGTGGGTGAGGGGAAGATAAGAGATGAGCTTGGAGAGTTACCAAGAAAGAAGTGGGCAGCCATGGATGGGTTTTAGTCAGGAAAGCAGCAAAATGCACAACTGATGAAAGACTCGCTGTACCCTTTGATTTTAGGAAAGTGGGAAGGTAGGGAGCTGTTGCTGAAATCCAGAAAAATG